ATTTTGGGAAACTACCATATCAGACTAGGAACACAAACATAACCCTTCTTAGAGGTTCAGGGATTCAGTAAGTAAGTTATAATGAATCTACAGGTCTGCTTATTTGGGTTTTACCTGCTTAAAACCCTGTTAGTACTTACCAAGTCGCCTCAGCCTTCAAGCGTGGCGCCATGCAAAATGAGGGAAATTCCCACGCCTGCCTGCAATTCTCGCCAAATCTCTCCCCACCGCTGATGGCCCTCCTGCCAGAGAATCAAGCACTGAAAATGAAAGGTTCGATGTCATTGTAGTCATCATCGAAATCATGAATATATGTAGAAATATATATGAATATATATATATATAACCTTGGCTCATTTAGAAAAATCTCCTGCTGAACATGTCAAACACATCCCCAACTACACCTAAAACCTTACATCCGAATTCAAAAAACTTTGGAACCCCAAACCTCCGCGCAGGCATGGATGAAAGCCGCAGGCGACAGCAGCTTCGAAGATAGCTCGCCCATGTGGGCCGCCAACTTCCTCCAACACCACCAAAAAAAACAACATCAGGAATCCCTTCGGGAGAGCGATAATCCTGATGTATCCCAAAGTAGGGTTTAGGGTTTGGGGAGTAAGGCGTAGGATTGAGGTTGAGGGTTTGAAGTTTGGGGTTTGAAGTTTGCAGACTCCGCCAGGCGCTGGAACGCCAAGCCTGAAAAACACGACTACGTCTCTAGGGGTCCCTATGTTGTTGGGTCCTTATGGTTGGGATTCTATATATAGGGGAGCATATAGTGGGTCCTTACTTTTCGAAATTGCCAGGCCTTCAGTATGAGCCACTACCCAGATGGATATGCCGCCTTTTTCGGCCCATGCTCCGTAAAAAACAGAAAACAAAAATACCACAAGTTGCACGGCAGTCCAATAGGGAACAGCCTAATCTAGGTCATGAATAGAAACACAAGGACTTCACTGCGCTGTATTGTCTGAGAGCTCTCGGATGGACCTAAGATGTGCGACGACATCTCCCCCTGAATTCTCAGGGTGCGACACAGACTTTCCGACTGTTCATATCATTTAATAGTTTAGGGTTCAAGGATTTTATGCCAGTAATGGGGAATTACAGGAAATGGAAATGAAATCAAATTGGATAATGAAATGGAAGCTGAGCTTAGTGGATACTCAGGATTTCTGTGATGTAGCGGCCTCAATTATTGCCAATACCTTTTCGCGGTCTATTTGACTTGAAGTATCCCATACCATAATTACATACGGAACCTAGGACCATAAACATATTATTGGTATTTCTTGGGCTTCTCCGACAACTTTTCCTGTTGGGGGAGCTGTCATAAACACACGATGACTCTTGCAATGGCATTTGCAACAGGATCCATCTGCTATGGCACATGTATTTCTTGATAACAAGTCCCACATTAAGATTTCATGATTCTGACCCTGCACCCCAGCGCTCTAGACCCTCATCCCAAATCAGAGTTTCAGAAACTTTGGAGTTACACGTCCCGATTAAAATTCAACTATGTAATTCCCTATAACGACCCTTCAACAGTGGTTCAAAGATAGTCACGCAAAACTCCGCAAAGTATTGGCGAAATATCCCTACAACCTGATATAGTCCCTAAACACCCACCTAGCCCCAAACCCTAAACCCTGCGCCCT